AAATTGGAGATTTCCCGTTTCCCTATCCCCCGTGAAATGCGAAGATATGCTTGTGCGCTCTAGGATTAATAAGGTAGGCTGATCAATACTTGATTTTCCTTAGCTTTCTCATTTACCCCTTCATTCACCCCGGAATTGAACGACCACTGTACCTGTTGGAACCACTGTAGGGGTAATGATAGGGATGAGCCGTAAGCCGCAATGTGTAGCGACCGTACCCCAAAATTAAACCTGAAGCCCCCATAATACTATCTCTTACCATCGATCGTTCGGTCGGTCGCCTCTACCGTCGGATGATGATTGTGGAAGTGGATAGCGAGAAATGCTACCCAACTCATATGTGCACATGCGGATGGTGAAGAATACCGGGCGTATACCAGTGTTGTAGATATCCAGGTACTGTGCTTCAAGATGTGGTACAGAAGAACCCAAGAACCATTGGAGAATTCCACAAATCTATCTTCTCTTGATGAGAATAGCCTTATTGGTATTTTGGAGGGGGGTTACTGTGGTACCTGCCTTGTATGGATTTTCTTGCGAGGTGATGTGTACACTTTGACTTGGGCAGGTCAGGGTACCATTTTCAGTTGATTGGCACTCTACCCTACTGCACCTTCACAAGGACACTTTGATCTTTTCCGTCCTTACATGGTACTTTTATATACACACATCACATACATCACATACATTCTTCTCCTTTCTCATTCCATTCCATTCCATTCCATTCCAATCCACTAAAGAATCTGAATATCTACAAAGTAAAATACCCCATTCTCACATCACATCGAAGCTCAGACTCATATAAGATAGACAGTATCGAAATCGAGTTGTAAACATTTTGAACACAGATTCAAACAAACGGTCTAGACCCCCATCTATCACATCACAAACTCACCAAACCCCAATCAGGCAAAATAAACGATTCAGCCAATGAAACATTTCAAAGGTCACCGAGCGAACATCGCTGAACACCGATCTTGTCCTGTATATCAAATATTTTGTATTTTGGGAGTTGTCTGCGATGTAGCAGCGTTATGTGCTCTCGCTAAACCCAGATTTCCTCGTCTGAAAGAGTACGTCTAGCGGGTTGAGCTGAAGTTCAAAGTCACGCATTAGATTGAGGTACCTATAGTATAACAGTTTCAGGGTTATTTATTTGTGCTTACTCGGTATGCCAAGTCTTTTCGATAGATTGGGGATATTTGGTTGATGGGTATATGGATGTTCGACAGAACAGCAGCTGAAATGTATTTCAGGACCATTAAATGCTGCCTGATCATAACGAGGTCATCTGAGTACTCTGAGGGGACATGGAGAAGGGAAAAGGTTATTTTGTTCATTGGTTTGAAGCGAAGGATGTTTTGTCGTTGTTGAGTTAGACCAAAGAATTGGATAAGAATAGGATGTATGTCATCAAGTCACCATAGATAAATATCAAGTCAGATACTAAAATATGTCGCAGCAACGATCTACACTTAGAGGTTTACCACAATATCTGATCCCAAAATACTCATCATCAGCTTGATGACTACTCATTATTCATGAATCCTATCGTCTAATGAGATCCAAACCCATATCCATATCCAAATCCACATCCAAACCCGTTTCCATTTTACTTTGCTCTTTCAAACACCACCACCACCTCCTCCAACCCTTCTCCCCTCCCCCTCCCCCCTACGCCAATCCCAGCAGTGAGTAAGCCATAAAAAACAAGCTTACATGGAAACGAGGATCAATGTGGGTGGTCCCCGAAGCTTAAAGACGCCAATCAATTAGACCCCTGGTCAGTGCATCCCAAAATTCCAGATTGGCCCTTTTCTTTTCTTTTCTTTTCTTTTTTGTCTCGAGGAAATATTTTTATCTTATTACCTTTTAGATTTTTGAGTCTTGACTAAGATGTATTGTTTTGTATTGTATACCGATGTTTTAGACCAAAAACACCTCAACTCCTTACCTAGCTAAGTAAGTTCCTTCCCAAGCGTTATCTAGACAGGAACAAATACAAATACCTACCTACCTACTCATAGTAACTCAACACAAGTACCGTGAATGCGAGTAAAAAAGAAGGAAATATAACGATGGTGATAATTATAATGATACGATCGATGAACATCGAAAATGAACACGAACACGACACCATCCCAATGAAGGACAAGCTTCAAGTATCTCGGATGTTTTCTTTTGTCACTCACCACCACACATGTCTTTGACAACTACCCAAATTGTCTTGGTATTATCCCAAGAAAAAAACATTCGAGGGCGCCACCTATGCTTTTTATTCGTTCAAGAAGCGCTTGGGAAATGACAGAATCTAGAGTATACATAGGTATCCATATGCTCATACTCATACTTATACGACCATTCCCAAATATGACAGAAAACATCCCAGATCATCGCAATCGATACTGACATACATGGCCCTGGTCTTGTACCTACAGGCTGCATATTTTCTCGAGTCCGATGGTCATGCCCAGATCTTTTCCCATTCTCCGAATGCTGTACAGGATGAAGCAAGAGAGAAGCTCGACGGGAAAATTGGTGTACAACGTGAACAATGAGACTAGGAGAATAAATGTTACGACTTGAAGGGTCTAGTCTATTGACTTTTCGTACACCCCAGCTTACTTACTATTATTCATTCTTATTCTAAGATTCGAGGATTTTGGGATAGGCTAATCGCTAGATACCTAAAAAATATATGGTAATCAATCATTTCGAATGAGAATACCCCAATGACAAGTTTTTTTCGTATCATAATTATGCATCGTAAAAAAAAAAAAAAAAAAAAAAGAAGCTACAGCCAATTTGATCTCACACCAGCCAGAAGTCTGGAAATCCTTAATTTGAGCATTAGAATCAAAATGTGCAGGTCAAACCGACATTTCCTCCTCCCCTCCCCCAAGTTCCCAAGCTTAATTTTTTCTTATTCATCCTGTTTTTCGCACGCCTTGGCTTCAAGCCGCCCGAGCTAAATAGCTCAGCCAGAACGCCTTTGGGACATACTCGCATACGCCCGAAAAAAAATGCTGGGGGGAAATCCTGGTAATGGAGCATGGGGAACGATGAGTTGAACTGTATTATTCCAGGCGAGACCTTTTTCAGTAATCGCGTGGACTTGAGCCGACGGGGTGATTATTGGTATGGGGATATTGGTATGAGCTCGAAGATTACCATCAGAGTATGCGTAGTGGGACAGGAGCGACTAGTAAACAGATAATGTGAAGCTATTCAGCAATACCATACGATAATTGGTAATACTATACAATACCGTCTCTGATGCTCTCCACGGAGAACTCCCAGTATCTGTCCCGTCTTTTCATCATATGATAGAAAAGTCAAGCTTTTCATTAGCTACAAAGTAGAAGAAACGATCAAAAGCAATGTGATGCATATCTTACCAAGTGCAATCCTTGTTCATCGCATAAAAGAAAGAAAGAAGGAAAAAGAGACATAAGGTTAGGAAAGATTTAATGATTAAAGGAGAAATAAAATGAATAAATAGGATCCAATCAATGTCAGGACGAATAGGTATTCCCCCTCCCTTGATAACTGTACGATCGTGATACAATACAATTTTATCATTGAACTGTATCTAGCTATCTATGCCGACACCTAGAAGAAGAATAAGAAAATAGAATATTGAATGCGAACATCCTAGGTCGGAATACCTCGACAACTCTGAAGAACGTAAGCACTTTAAAATTATTCAGCAGCAGCAGCAACCCTTGAACATTTCAGAAACATAGCAAAGCACAGCTGTCGAAATTCGGGTCCAATTCCAATTCCAATTCCAATTCCAGAGCTGCTGTTGAACAAAGTATGGAAAGACGAGACGAGACGAGACGAAGCGAAAAGAATAATTTGATCCCTAATCCATCGATCCTACTCTGTATATTCATCAGATATGTAGTAATTCCATCATATTATCTGAGATCTCCAAAAGTCCACCCTATGTCACTTCTCCAAATGATACAAGTGACAAACCCCTTCGTTCGATCTCATCTGGGATCCAGCTTGCCTACTCGTCCGATCTACCTGTGACTCTGTTGCTCTTTCACATATTCGGACGTCAGTACATATACATCCTACATACAGCTGGACATCGCATATGGGGTCCGGATATCCCCTACGAGACCCAGTATCGAAAGGAACCGGATCAGCAACAAGCAGCAACCTAACATTGCAAATATATCAAAGACGACCTACCGTACTTGCACGTAAACCAATACCAACGATCAATCCGACCAATCTGTCATATCAAGCCAATCATTCCGCCGCCCACCAATCGAATCCAGCGCAGCATTGCAAATCAAATCAATATCACACTATACTAGAACGGAATCCTATCGCTCCCAATATTCATCGAGCTACTCTCCATCGAGAAACAATAACCTGAAACCTTGAAGCTTCGCCCAATCTCCAGAGCTACTCCGCATACTACTCTACTCAACCACCCACAACAACCCTTAAGCATCTAATAAGCATCTAACATTTCGACCTTTCGACCCTCGATCCTTACCGCATCCCTCGCTCCGTCGACTCTCGGTCCCAATCAATCGCAGTTGCAGGACCCCATGTCTTTTTCCACTCTAGTGTAATCTTTCCTCGAGCACACTTATTATGATCCCTTAGCCTTATTAACTAGTTGTTAGCTCCCAAGAGCTCGGAGGTACCCAGCCATATGACACTAAATTAATCTAATCGCCCCAAACCACGAAACTCTCTTTTTTTTTTGATTTATTTTTGCAATAGCTGGGACTCCTGGAAGCTACTCTGGAAGCTACTCTAGCCTTATACTAGTTAGTGCCCTTCCCCTTACCATTCTACTTTTACCCTTCGACCAGCGAGCTCAACCTCTCGTGGATGGTATTAGGTATCTTTATTTGATATATTATATTGGTCTATACGCAATACCATACAACGCAGTTTATTTATATTTCTGGTTACATTGTTTATTTATTTGTTTATTTATTTATATACATCTACATGTCTCCAATCCATCATCTATTTCCCATTTACCAACGACTTTGATTGATTTATTGATTATCTATTTATCTATTCACTTGATCCAAACCATCCCCCCGTCCCTAAGCGGTATTCCCTTTACCACGAGGCCGCCCAGCAAAACCAAATCAAATCACATCAAACCGATCCAGCATTAGACAACCATTAGACAACCACACAGCCATACAACCATACAGCCATTAAAAGGACTGCTTCACCCCTCCAGCTCTGACCAAGAAAGATCCAGCCAAACGCATCTGCAACCCACACTTCACTACCCTACGAAAGTCCACACACCACACCACACTACTCCATCAGCACAGACCATTTCCCAGACCCAATAACCTACATAAATCAAGCAGACGCCTCCCCGGCCGCCATCCAGGTGATCGACAACTCCACATTCTCCATTCCAGTAAATACACTACCAAAATCCCTAACGAACCTACGAGATTTGTCTGATTCTCTTGATCTCCAATATCCCACCGTCTTTTTGGCTCCGATCCGTCTATATTATATCTATCTATATATTCAAAAATCAAAGGGTTTCCGAAGATATACAAAAAGATCAAGATACGACTTGGACTCAAAATAATCTTTGCTCTCTTCCTTTTATCCGATTCTTCTTCTCTTGCTCTATCTATCACAATCACCGATCACATCCACAATCACAAGCAAAGAAAAACAAGTTACCAAAGAAGGAATTATCCCCACTCCCCATTTTTCACTACTTGTTCCCTCGTTCCCTCGCCTCGGTTGTGCATCTACCCGTCCGAACCAAATACTTTTCACACGCGACAACGTGAAATTGGTGATCCAGAGCAAAAGTAAGGAGCCGTCATCACTTTAAATCCTTCATCGTGGACTTTCCCATAATCTACCACGATTATCATGGAGACCGCCAGCTTTACAGCTCGCCGGCCCGCCGCATCCAATCTTCCCAACTTCCAGCTTCCCCCTCCAGAACCCCTTGGAATGCACCATCACAAATATCAACAACAATCCAACAACTATATTCACGGAACTACAAACAGTTCTTCCCAGCCTGTTCCTGCTGTCGCCAACAATATATTAACGCCTCCCGCCGGCGTTTCGCATGACGGCTTAAGTCCTCTTGCGTCCAGCGTTAACAGTGGTAGCTCGGGTAGTTCGACCGCCGGCGTACCTCCCTATCAACCTTCGGCTTTCTGGCCAAATACCCAGTCCGGAAACAACTTCACATTTAGTTCTGCGCCACCGATGAGTGCGCCTTATGCTCAGCAACAACAACAACAAAGTTATATGAGTAGACCACTATATTCGCCCTCCATGAGTAGCTATCCAGGGTCACGAATCCCTCATTCTCCCACTTCATCAGAAGGACTGCCACCACCTACCTTTGAGAGCCTTCCCCCATTCTCTACCGGAGTCCCAATGTCTGGTTCAGGTGGCCAACAACAAAATCTCCCCACTCTTGCACCACAAAATTCCCAGCAGCAACATATGACCAGTCACAATCTCATGAACCTTCATCAATCCTCCTCTCAAGCACCCCAACAGGGCAACGTGCCAGCTCCCGATAACTATGGCGGACGAGCACCTCCAACTCCAAATTACTACCCCCCTTCATCCACTCCTCAACAATCAAATTTCCCCGCCTATGCCCAACAATCACCTACACAACAATCTCCCAATACCTCCTCCGCCCCTTCTAACCGCATTTCTCCCATCCAAACTCATCACTCGCATTCTTCCATGGGCGCACCTCACCAAGGTTATCCTTCTCGTCCTTCATATCCACATTACAATCTCCCCACCTTAGCCGCACCTATTATGTCGAATGTCCACCAACCTGGTAGTCAAATGGCACTCCTCGGCGGAATGGGCAATATGGGATATCCTCAGCAAATGCCAGGACCAATGTATGGCAGTCATCATCCTCAACAGATGCCTCAAAATGACCGTCCATTTAAATGCGATCAGTGTCCGCAATCTTTCAACCGCAACCACGATTTGAAACGTCATAAGCGTATTCATTTATCTGTGAAGCCATTCCCATGCGGTCATTGCGAAAAGAGTTTCTCGAGAAAAGATGCATTAAAGGTTTGTATTCCTTCTCTTTTTCAATATGTTTATCCTTAAATCACAGACTAACCCCAACCCAGAGACACATACTCGTCAAAGGCTGCGGAACAAAGGCTGCAAATGGAGCCGCGAATGCCAATGGAGGCTCTCAATCGCCTGTCGATAAATCTGAAATCTTAAGTGATTCTACCAATGACGAGAGCCCGGAGATGGTAAAGAAGGAATTGTCATAAGAACGTGACAATCTATTCTCATGACTTGTCGATTTCTCTTCTTTTCTTTTGTTGAATTGCAAATTTCAACGAGATGGCAAGCACACACTATAAACGCAAACCGATGTGCAAGCCTTGGGCGGATGGGTATTCATTCGGCGCCTTGACACTAAAGGATATGGGCGTTCGGAATCTATCTGGAGGATATGGGGTTGGATGGGATGGGTAGGGATGAGGGTGATGTGGGATATAACTTACACTGTATGGCTGGGCGGACATCTCCTTTCGAATAGGACAACACAGAACTCTAAGAAAGTTGAAGATGAGGTTGGTGGCGTTGTTATGTGATTCTCTTTGAGCATGTTCATGAAACCTTGAGCATTTTGACAAATGTTTTTCTGTTTTTTTTTCTTCTTCTACAAAAAAATGCCAGAATCTGGGCCTGGGTGTGGAATATAGTATCTTATCAGAATGGATTTGTTTCGGAGTTGCGGATTTGTCGATTTTTCTGTACGACATCTCGATCTGGGCGGGATGGAAATGAATGGGTACCTGGCTCCAATGGGATCGCATTGGGAAGCGAAATGCGAAATGGAACCGGGGTGGAGCTTTGGCGTGGGAATCGATTCGGTAAATACCTTTGAATGCGTTTTGCTTGTATGTTTATCTTCTATATTCGATTTGGGGGATGGAGAGCGAAAAGCCTCTTTTCTTCCCTGGTTGACTCTTCTCTCTTCTTTATATCTCCTTGTCCTGTTGGGCGATGAGTATACGATGTGGCGGATAGCTGATGGGTGTGGTGTGTCTTGCACTCTTGCTTGCGCGTCCATGTTGCGGTTTGGGTTGATCTATGATGTTAGCGGAAGGGTGGTTGGGTGGTTGGGTGAAGAACGACTTCGTGGAGTGGAGTAAGCTAGCTAGCGATATCAGATTTTGATCATTTTAGTTTTGGGGCCTGAGAATCTATCATATTATACCTATCATCATATTATATCACATCACATCACATCACATCACATCAAACCAAACCAAATTAAACTAAACTGTGAATTGGATTGCGGATAGCGAGTTTCTCCATGTGAGATTGCATGGTTGAAATAGTGCCAGCTTATTGTTTGAGAATCTTTGAATAGGTACTTATCGGTAATAGATGAATACCTAGGTACCTACCTAGGTTGATTGGTTGATTCAATTCTTTCTTCCAGCTTTTCTTCTTCCTTCGATTTGTTCTTTAGACTTTATTTATACTCCATGACAAATGGGCTGGCTGGCTGGCTGGCTGGCTGTAGAGATTTCTTCCTTTCGATGTGTAGGTAGGTACCATCGTATATTGCAATTTTAGAAAGGAAGCGGGGTACTATCTCTCCTCTATCTCTCCCCTATCCCCGTTCCTAGATTGTAGATTTTAGATTTTAGATCCTTTCTTCTATAAGGTTTATTTTGAATATAGGTCATTGAATGGTTGGAGATTATATATTATCTATTTATTTATCTGTCTATCTGTTTATCTGTTTATCTACTAGGTACATTAATATGTATAATCTGATTTAAGATGTAGATGATAGAGAGGTGGTTTATTTTAAGGTATATATATTGAGAAGAGAAAGTAATTGAGAAGGGAAGATATGACGAGGGAAAAGATAACCGATATCCCTGCTATGTGCACGCCCCTACTATATGCACGTTTTTGTATTTCAAAATAAAAATCAATTTAAAATTCGAAAATCATTAAATGAAATAAAATTTAAATTGAGAATTAAATGATAGTATTCATTTGAATTTTTCGAATTTTCAAATTATTAAAATACAAATTGATTGAATGATTAAATAAAAAGAATATATAATTTTGATATATAATTGTTTAATAAAAAATAGAATCAGATCTATTTATAGAATTATAAATATGTTAATAGATTTTTGATATTAACATTATTATAAAAGAATCAAAAAAATCAAAAAGTAATAAGAATTGCATTTAATATAACTTATTAGATTTCCTAATTATTTTTATTATTTTTAAAAAACTTAAAAATAAATCTTAAAATGAATTTAAGTTTTATAATTAATATTAAAGATTTAAATATTATAATCTTTTTGAAATAAATTACATTGAATATTAAAATATATAAAATATCAATAAATCAAAGAGATTATTTAAAGAAATCTTTATTTTTAAATTTTAAATTTGAAAATTAATTTATTTCTAAATTTATAATATATAATGAAACTTTAATTATAAAACTATTATTACAATATAGAACAATTTAAAAAAGAAGTTTTTTAGAATTCAAAATATTATTAAATCAATTTTTAAAATAGAATATTCTAAATAGAAATTATTTTAATATTAATAAATCCTGAAAATCTAAATATATAATTGTTTTATTAAATCAAAAATCAATCAATACAATTCTTTTTTTTTAATAATTAAATGAATTATATATGATTAAAGATTTTCGAAATTACATTTTTATTAATAATCAATAAAAGCTTAGATTGTAATTAATATTATATTAAATCAAATTTTTTATATTTATTTATAAACCTTTATTTAAATATAATATCAATAAACTATAGATTTTAATATATTTATAATTATTTTAAAAATCATTATTATTATATAACTCAAAAGTGTAATTAAATATCATAAACTTATTATTTTATTAATGATTAACTCTTATAAATATTCTTTTTAAAATATATTAGAATTGAATATTAATATAATTTCAGAATTTCAATAAAAAAGTCTATTTTTTAATTGCTTTATATTATAATATATAAAATATTATAATTTCCTTGAATAATACTTATATTTTTAATTACATTACAAAACATATTAATAAATAAATAATTTCTTATATAAAAATTTAATATCTTATTTATTATTATTATTATTAAAAAAATTTGAAATTTCAAATTTTTTATTTCAAAATATTATATTAATATACTGAAATTATCCTAGTTTTAAATTTCAAATCAAATTATAGCTTTTTCAATTTTTAATTCAATTTAATATAATATTTTATATAAATAATAAGAGCGTGCACATAGTAGGGCCGTGCACGTAGTAGGGATATCGGTTAAGAGATGAGAGATAAGATGAATATTAATAAGATTCCAAGATTAATGGAATTAAAGAACAAGAAAAAGAAAGAGAGATATGATCTTTGGAAACTTTGCCTTCGTACGATAAGTGACATCATTTGCTTTCTCGACAGTAGGCTAGAGTTCTTCTATCAAGGAAGTAGTCTCTTCTTCATTCTGTGGCGGATGAATAACCTCTATTAGCCAGGCAGCTTTTACCCTTTCTGTTCCTGTGAAAAGAGCTGCTACGACTTTGGGATGTGACATGAGGATTCTTTTCATTAATAGGGAATTAATATTTATACCGTTTGATAATACGATGATGTCGTCTGTACGGCCACGGTATTTCCACTAGAAGAAGGGTACATCATTAGCGAGTTCTTACTGATGCTTTTGTGAAGAAGTTGAATACAGAAGATTCAATTTACTCACCATGTCTTCCTTAGTAGGATGTTTGGACATCAAATCTTTAGTCAGCCACTGAATCAAATACGGGTATATGAAAATACCTTCTGAGAGGTACACAGAGCATCATCTCTGACAAAGACAAGCTCATACAGATCGTCCGTACCGTGTCGAAACTGCGCCCCAAAAAGCGGGCTGAAAGTCATATATTCATGATATTCCTGATCTTCCAAGACCAGAGGAAGAGGGCCAGCTTCGGTGGCATCGTAGGCTGCGTAAATCGGGACCACAGAACCTATCTTGTTTGAGATGATGGATGAGCTAAAGGCAGAACCACACTGATGACATGGTCTAGTTTTTGGAGTCCTTCTAGATACTCAGGGCTTTTTGCCATTGCTTCGAAGAGGGACGGTTGCAAAATAGACGCGTCGCATATATCTAGCTTATGTATAGTAGCAGCCAATGCCAGTGTTATGAAGAGAGTACTTGATCCCGAGATCGGAGTCATGTTCCAGTGGACATTGAGTGCCGTAGCAATGAGTAGGCCGGCCATCTAAAAACTTACATGAGAGGTTGGAAAAGGAACATAATGAACTTTGTTCGTCCATCTGTCAACTGTAACTCGCTATGCTCCAGATATGGTCGCCTCGGGGTCGACTAGTGAGCATATCTGATAATAGAAGAAAATAGTTGTTTGTAGAAAAAGCTTTACTTATCAATCTCATTCTTCGCTATCAGCTGAATCTTGTAGGATGCTAAAATTCGGATTTGTCAAAAATTTCCCACCCTCAAAGAGAACTTCCAATTTATATCCATCTATCCTACACAATACAATTCTTCATTTTCATGCACACTCAAGAAATCAAAAGTATATCTCATCCATTTCATTCCGTCCCATTTAATAGCACAGTTGTAGGCTCCCTTCCACCAAATCAATTCAAGATATCCGATCTGTAGTAGCCAATTTATATTCCGGACACCATTCATCCAAGCTCATCATGTGTTGCTGAATGTATCTTGTAGGTTGATGGAGACCTGTTTGGCTCGAGTATTAGTTCCAATACTTGTTCTTATATCCAAAAGAGAAGAAGAAATAGAGAAAATAAAAAGCGAAAGAAGAAAAGGGGGATCGGCACCTAGAGGATGAGGATGATCAATTGTCTCCACTGCAAATGTTCTTGCAATCTCCATACTCGGCAGATTAATTCCATCCTCAACACCCTCCTCAATCTCTCGATCTTGTAAATCTTTGAACCTAAGACCATCACACATTTATTAGCACAATCTACATTATCACTCTCCAGTCCAAAACCATCAAAACTCACCTAGCATAAAACCACTGATCCTCCGCCGGATGCGGATTATCACTATACTTCCACTCATCCAACACCCTCAAGATAGTCTTCCTACTCCTCATACTCAAGCCCCCATTATATCCCTGCCCAAACTTCGATTCAATAGGCGCACCAATCAAATCATATTCCATAAAATCATCCACACTCCTCGCCGCATTCGCACACAACATGCTATCCGACTGAAACAGCAAGATGTGTTCGGCCGGCGCCAGATCCTCCCACAACCAGCGCGTCGTCAGAAACGCAGAAACGGAATCCCAGTTGTAGAACCAGGTTCCGGCCGCAAGAGAGCGCACGATGATGCGGCCCGAGTGCTGGTGTCGGAGGAGCGCGGCAGAGGTGGAGAAGGATCCGAAGTTCTCCGCGGATGTGTAGATGATGAGGGGCCAGGTTGGTCCTAGCACGGCGCTGAAATGGAGAATGAGAGGAATGATGTTGCCGGACCGTCGGGTTTCGATAATTACGGCTACTTTGTTGCTGGTTGTTATATTTGCTGTAGGGGGCTGGGGCTTTGCTCCGAGATCTTCTGATGAGAGTGTTGATGTGAGATCATTGTGAGCTACATGAGTTGAGTTATCGGTCCCAAAGCTGACATTCCATGGATTTCCATCATTTCTCGAGTGCTCGATTGCAGTTCGTACAAACAAAATGAAAATCGTGAGATAGATGACTGGAAATAGTAGTTTTCGAGGTTTGGCCTTGAGGAAGTTTTCTTTGGCCGTGCTGATGTTGTAGTTACCCAACATAGCTGTCCCGAATTATGTAAATGGAGATAAGAAATACAAGCAGCTACTGAGATGCGTGACTGTATAAATTAAAATTTATTTCCCCTATTCTAGGGATGATGTGCTTGAAATACGCCATGCCGCATTCAGAGTTTACTTTTTCTCCAAATTCGGAAATATGTGTATCTGAGACAATTTCATGCGAGGCCTTCAGTAAATATGATAATGATAATGATATACATAGATTTGAACTCCTTACTGTTGTTAGTAATAAGGAACTATTGTAATGACTCTCTCTTTCTCCTTCTTTGATGCGCATCAAAATTTCAAAAACATCACACATGGACATCGTCTCAAACAGGAAAGACCGTCATTTTCCAGATGACAAATCTCTTCACCCATTTTTCCTTTCTTTTCCACATATACCAAACGAGACTTTTCAAA